CAGTCAACGCCACAGGCTGATTGTCTCAATTCCATAACTCCCAGTCAGTGCCACAGGCTGATTGTCTCAACGTCACATCAGAGATTAAGACAAAGATTCACAACCAATTATTGAAGATTGATATATTGATTTGAAAGAACCATATTTTGATTGATTTGTTCTGATCCTAATTTATTTATTTATTTCTGTTAAACTGGGAAGTGTGGCCTGATGTCTCCACAGAATTATGATTTATTAAAATCCAGTTTTCGTGGGTTTCATGAGCTGGAAGCTCAAATTATGTAAAAATAAACAAATAAATACTTGAAATAGTTTAAAGTGTGGGCCCTGAATCTATCGTCTGTTAAAGATGAACTTTCTGAATGAATTGTGGAAGTTACACAAGTTTTCTATGATATTAAGGGCGGCGGTGGCTCAGTGGTTAGAGCAGTCGTCCTCCAATGCAAGAGTTGGGGGTTCGAATCCACCAGCAGTCACATGCTGAAGTGTCCCTGGGCAGGACACTGAACCCCTCACAGCCTCTGATGTGTCAATCAGTGTCTGAATGTGATGAAGCTCTGGTTATTCTCTAGAATGATTTGTTCAGTTCTCTCTGTACAGATCTAGTATAGAGCTGTATGAACGGGTCTATGGGGCACAGATTGTTGTAAAGAGCTCTGAGTGTCTGAACCAGATAGAAAGGAGCTGTATAGGTGCAGTCCATGTACCATATTCTAATTTTTGGAGAGGGTCTGTATATGATACAGTGTGGACTCTAATAATCCTTTATTAATCAAGCAGCTCGGGCTGCGTCACTCACATGTATCCATCCCAGTGTGATGAGGTCGTACTGGTCCTGGATGAGGAACAGTTCTTCCTCGTTTTCAGTGTCACAGTAGTCCGGCCCGCCGCACTGCTTCGGCACGATGACGTGGGTCACGGTGAACGCGTTTCTGGTCTGGAACAGAAACGGAGAGCGTCACGCTGCAGAGAATGATGCAAAACAAATCTGCTCCCCAAACACGTCTGATCCATATTCACACTGCTGAATCTTTATTTACCAGATGTTGGTAAATAAACAACACTTCACCGGTCTCTTCTGTAAACACCACAACAAACTCCCAGATGTTGGTAAATAAACAACACTTCACCTGTCTCTTCTGTAAACACTACAACAAACTCCCAGATGTTGGTAAATAAACAACACTTCACCTGTCT